TATATATAAATAAAGAATTATTTTACTTAATAATTTATGTTTTATATCAAATTTCAACGATCTATTAATTTAATAAAAAAAATTTAATGCATAAATGATGTTTATGATTTTTAAAAAAAATTAAAAATTATGTGATAATTTGTTATAAAAATTTAAATTATCGTATAAAATACTTTTATGATTAACTATCAATTTAAATTAATGAAACGATATATCAAATAAATTTTTATATTTTTAAAATTTTGTAGACTTAAGAACTTTTAATTTATAATTTAAGATTTTATACGTTGATTTAAATTTATATAATAAAGTATAATATGATTTCAAATTTTCTTAAAAATTGTAGACTTAATAATTTTAATTTAAAGGTTGAATTGTTAAAATTTGATATAAAACTTGAATTATTAAGTAAAATAAGTTTGTCAAAACTCACTTTTGGAGTAAGTAAATCTTTGATATGTAGAGACATTTTAATTTTTTAAAATAATTATAAATTATTAAAAAAATGATTTCTTAAATTAATTAAGGCCATAATTTTAGAGAGTCCAACATCATTGATTCCTTTAGCGAATTCCTTGAAGTGGTGCTGTGATTGGTTGTTGTTTTGGGTTTATATAATTTCTTTTTAAGTAAAAGACTGCTTTGTAGTTAATTTCTTGCTGATTTTCTTCAGGTTTATCTGATGCGTCCGAAGGAAGTCATTTTGTTAAACCTTTGTCAATTCAGGATCAGGATTTTCAAAGTAAACATGATATATCAGCATGCAACAATGATACTACCGCTTATAATGGAAACATTAAGATTGGTTCTTCGAGTCTGGGAGAAGTAAAAATACTTTTAGATTGTGACTCTGCCTTGGGACAACCAAACTTTAGTATTCCTAATTTGGATTTTGTAATGAAGTTCATGGACAGGAAGTACCTCAGCTCTTGCAACACTGTTGGATCCCATTTTTCTATGCCAAAGCTATTAGATGATTTTTGCAGTAGTTATCTCAAGTTGGGACATCGAAAGGGATCAAATTCCAAACATGGCAATTCACAGCAATGTGATAATCAAGGTGAAAGGAATTCCAGTCATTTTATCAGTGACATAACAAAAGGTTCAGAAAAGGTGAAAATATCATTAATTGGTGAAATTGGCAAGGAGGACTTGCCAAAGTTTAATTACATACCATATAATATAATATATCAAAGTGCTATTGTAAGCATTTCTTTGGCTAGGATTTCGGATGAGGGTTGCTGTTCTGATTGTTCAGGCAACTGTCTTTCCGCATCATTGCCTTGTATATGTGCTCAGGAAACTGGTGGAGAGTTTGCTTACACTCCGCAAGGTTTGTTGAAACAAGAATTTCTAACAGCTTGTATGTCTATGAAGAATGAACCTCAAGATCATCATTATGTGTACTGTCAAGAGTGCCCTTTGGAGAAGTCCAAGAATGAGTACATGCCTGAACGCTGCAAGGGGCATATGGTTAGGAAATTTATTAAGGAATGCTGGAGGAAATGTGGATGTGACATGCAATGCGGAAATCGATTAGTGCAACGAGGTATAACATGCAAATTGCAGGTAAGCATTTCTTGTATACTCTTACAACTTTTTTATCAATTATGATAATCGAGTTAATCAACTAATATACTGTCAGTATAATTTATACTCACAACCAATTATATCTTTTAATTGTATTATGTCACTTTTAAAAGTAAATGTGTTTATACTGATATGGTACAATTAAAAGATATAATTGGTTGGCAGTGTAAAAAAACTTTATACTGACAATGTATAGGTGATTAACTCATCCTATTATTGGTAAGAACTAAGAAGTATCTCCTATAGGGATGGGCAAAATGAACTGAACTGAACTGAACTTATAAAAATTATACTAAACTTAAAAATAGTTCTCATGAACTGAATTAAACTAAATATTAGTTCAGACGAACTGAACTGAACTGTTTTTTATTCTATTAAACTTTACTTTACTTAACTATACTTAACTATAATATAAACTAAACTGAACTGCTCTACACCTTAATCTGTTTTTGAACTGCACTATTTTTGAACTGAACTATTCATGAACTGCTTCTAAACTGTGCCTAAACTGCATCATGTCCAAGAATAAATTACAACCATATAACATGCTAACAAATAAAAAAGATTATATAAATTAGTTTCATTCCCTTTAAAATAATATAACTATTGCAAATCATATCTATCACTTCCAAATCATATACCTAGACAACCAGAACCCAAATCTAGAAATGCAACTCTTGCAACTAGTTTCACACCCTTTAAAATAATATAACTATTTTTTTAAAAGTTAAGATAATATTTCATCAATAAAAATTATCGTAAGTATAATTAATTCTTAATTATTAATTTTAAGATATTGTATAAATCATGTTTATAAAAAAAAGCAAAATCTTTTGAAAACATATGTACGCCAATCATACCCCCAACTCAGAAAATCATTCGTAGAACCTCAAACCCTTGAAACCAATGCACAATCTCAAGTCCAAATGCATCACACTGCCGTCAACAAACTATAGTTAGGGAAAAAAGTTTTTGACGGAAAAATTCAACACCCAGATGAAGATAAGAAGCTTTTCACACATAGAGAAGGTGAGTGAAGGAAAATAAAAACGAAATTGCATGACCCATTGGAATACTTACGAATGAGTAGAAAAGTGAAGATTGCATTTTCGCATTTACTGGTGGGCGGTGGCTGGTTAATTAGGGATTCCGGATTCCTAATAGTAGCGTGCGTGCGTAGTTTAATTGCAACCCGTGCTCGTGCGTGGTTTTATTTTTTAACGTGTAGTTAATTTTAGTTAACTAAACTGTAACTTAAATAAGTTCAGTTTTTTAAAACTGAATTAAAAAATAGTTTAGTTCAGTTTTATTTTAAATAGTTTTAGTTTTTTAGTTTAAAATAATTCAGTTATTAATAGTTTTAGTTAAGTTAAGTTAATTTTGCCCAGCCCTAATCTCCTAGTTTTATTAATAACTAATATATGTCAAGAAATATAATTAATCACTTCTAATCTTCTTTTAATTATTTTTTTTTTCATCCACAAAATTTGAATATAAAATATTGTTTAAAAGATTGAATTCATTATGACTAATGGTTTGCTGGTATTGATTGATAATTTGAGATTCCTTCATAATTTCTTAATGGTTTATTTCATCATTTGATTCATGAAATTTTGAAAAAAATTAATTCGTACGTAATTTGAGATTTCTCAGAATTAGAAATTCATTAGTAATACCTAATCTTTTTTTATAAGATGAGTTATATCATTGTATTTGGACAATCACATTTGCATTATCATTGATGTGTATCAAGTTTTAATTCTTATTAATTAAAACCTAATACATTTAGATGATGAGGAGGGATCCTAAATCTTAAACCTGAACTATGTTTAATAACTCATGTTTTACATTCTATTTCAATGATCCAACCGTTGAATTTAAAGTTTTTAATACATAGATAAAGTCTTCAAATTTTTTAAAAATATTTTAAAAACTATTTGATACTTCATTTCATTAGTTTAATTTAACATATAAAATATCTTTGTAATTATTCATCAATTTGAATTTGAAACAAAATATCAAATGATTTTCAAAATTTTTAAAATTTGTAGACTTAATCTATGTATTAAGAACTTTAAATTCAACATTAAAATTTGATGTAAAATATGAATTATTGAATTAAATAAATCTAAGACTTACTCCATAAACAGATCCCTCCTTTTAGATAATAACATGAAATAATAATTTGTTATGAATGTCCAAAAATGGTGATATGAGAAAAATTTACTCAAATTCAATTATAATTTTTTTTAATTTAAAGACCTAATTAAAACAGAAAATGAAAAACAAAATAAATATACTTTGTATATCTCGTTATTCTTGCCATTGCTTTCTTTAATAAATTGTATTTTGAAAACTCTATTACTTGTTAATATGCTCTTTATTATAGATTGAAAGTCACAAATTTTGATGGATCTTAATACTAAATTAAAAGACATATTCATAAATAAAATACAAAACGCACAATATTTGTAATTAACTTCCATTAAATTTTTACATTCAATAAAAAAAAAAGTGTTAGAGAAGTTATTATTGATATTATTATATCTTTATCAATTTGAATAAGGTCACAAATGTTAGTTGTTGCAAGAAAATAGTTAAGAGTTGAAACCTTATGAACCCCTTACTAAAAACTTTGGAATTGGATCCTCATATAACATCCCATTATGCTTTGTAATTCTGCTGGATCTCAACACCTATAGTGGCTGGCTGTAAGACCTTTGGCTAGTCTTAAGAAAACACCGCAATGCCTTCATCAACACCCGTACCATTTGTTTGTGGCTAAGAAGCACGGTAGAAAACCTTGAGAAATCAACAAATTCTAGCTATTACAGTTAGAGTCAAAGTTTGATAAACCCCACTTTAAGAAAATCCCATAACGCTCATACCTTCTACTTCACACTTAATTTTTATACCTTGCAATAGAATCCTAACACAATCATTACTTTGCTCTTGATGCATCATAATGAGTGCCTTTTCATCTTTTTTACTTCAGGTGTTCTTAACTCGTGAAGGTAAAGGCTGGGGCCTTAGAACGTTAGAAGATTTACCAAAGGGAACTTTCGTATGTGAATATGTTGGAGAAATATTAACCAATATGGAGTTATACGATAGGATTATGGGGAATGTTGGCAAAGAAAGACATACATATCCTGTAACTCTTGATGCGGACTGGGGCTCAGAAAAGGGGTTAAAGGATGAAGAGGCACTATGTTTAGATGCAACAATTAATGGTAACGTTGGAAGGTTCATCAATCATAGGTAATAATATACCAAAAATACTACTCTGGTCTTTTATATATAAGAAATAAATAACTGTATTTTTCTTCTTCCCAATTATAAGAAATATACACTCACTTTCATTCTTTCAATGTGTTAATAAAAATTATTATTCTTAGTTTTATTGCAAAGCCTGTTAATAATGAGACCTTCATCTCTCATGCAAGTAAAGCTATATATTGACTTATTAACTATATAATTTACATTTGTTGGTGGGAAAATTATTCTTTAAATTACTATTATATCTTTAAACATAACCACTACTTTAACTATGTCATTAAAAACTTTTTTTACATTGTGAACCAATCAAAATTTACTATTAATTTAACTTTTAAATTAGTTATTATAAAAAGCAATAAACATTATACATGATATAGATTTAATTAGATGACTGATTAACTATATTTTACTGGCATAGCCTTTTTTCTCTTAACTTTACTGATACATTAAGAACAAAATATAATTTGATCACATTAATCAACTTAATTTTTTTTGTCTTGTAGAATTAGTTGTTTTTTTTTTCTCAAATAAAAGCCAAGATGTACTACCTATTTTTAAAAAAATTCATCATTTTCAATTAAAATAGAATGTAATTACAATGCATGTGTCATCTAATAATATGATTTCTAGTGGATTGAAAGTATAAAATTTTTATATTGATCCTATGATAATTAATCTCCTAAAATTACTACTTGCTTAACCAGTCAGATAAAATTTTGGCATCTTTAATGGCCAAACATGCTCAGTTTAATGTTTCATTTTTTACTGTCGCTTTCTTTTCTTTTAAGTGAACAGGCCCGAGGACAGAACAATTATTGATCTGTGTTTTTTATTTCAGATGCCATGATGCAAATCTCATAGACATTCCTGTTGAAATAGAGAGTCCAGATCATCATTATTACCACGTAATTAATGATTAGTTTCTTTCATATTCACGTAGTTCTCATACACCATATTGATTTATTTAGTTTTGTGCATAACATTAAAAATTAAATTACGGGCGTACACTTAAAATTGTGCCTTGTTCCTTTGGAGCAGCTTGCGTTCTTTACCAACAGGAAAGTGAGTGCATATGAGGAGTTGACATGGGTAAGTCAGTTGGACCGATATAATATAAGACATGTACCTATTATAATTATTGTGCGTTTGTAATAGTTTATGAATTTAATTTAAATGCATGAATAGTGAACATAGTTGTTTCAATATCACCTAATTATAATGGCATGAAGGTAATTAAATTTTTTAATTTTTATAATAATTATTAATCATGTATAGTTTAATTTTTCTTAGATAGATGTAATACTTTGTTGGAGGTGGTGTCATATGCCTGTAAAGTATCTTAAATGCTATTGTTGTAATGCTCCCATATATGTTCCGGTACCAAATTCATGCAGAGATACCGCATTAAACAGGAAGATGATCATAATGACTCATATAAGTAGAGAATCGACTTTATAAAATTGAATTGGGGTTGTATAAAATGATATAAATTTATCTTAAGTCACTAGATTTTAATCTTTTAGTAACATTTTCTTGTTTACATTTATTAAAATGTTACTATATATTAAATAAATATGTTATTTTGTAACACTTTTTTGAAAAATGTCATTATAAGTAGAGTAACATTTTTTATTTCAATATTATTCTTTTTAATTGTTTTCAAAATCAAAATTTCATATCGAGTAAAAAAAATTTACATAAGTTATTTTGCAACATTTTTTTTGAAAAATGTTACTATAATTGCTTCTAAAGTCATAGTCCCACATCAAGTAAAAAAAAGTATATTTCTTTTATATCTAATTGTAACTCATAATTAAAGTCCCACATCGAATAGATTAATAACTCATAAAGAGTATATATACTCATATAGTTATACTTAAGATAAATAAAATTTGATATTCTATATATAATTAGTGGTGACTAACTAAAAATGTCTTTCCCTAAAAACTTAAGGAAGGCTAGAAGTTTAGGAGACATAAAAATATAATAATTGGTAGTAATATTTAAATTAAAATTAATTATTATTTTATAAGATTATCAAAATCTTGGCAACATCATTAAAATGTTACAAAAAATTATTAAAATGTTACAAGAATACTACTTTGATAACATTTAAAAAATGTTACCTATTTATGCAAAAATGTTATTAAAAGTCTTTAGCAACATAGACTATATACAACATTTGATAATATGTTGCTAAAACAAATTAACAACATTTATACATAATTAAGTAACATTTTTCAAATGTTGCTAAATACCATTTGTGTTGTAGTGAGTTCTTAATAATTTTTTTTGAATGTTGTTAAATTTATCAAACTATATTTTATTGAACTACTTATAGATGACCTGTAAACTTCAGGTCGAAGATTTTCAATGATTAGCATGAGTGTGTTATAGATCTTATGTTAATTAATGAGATAATCATAGATGTGTATATAAATAAAAAATAACTATCATTTTTCAAATTAATTGTATAGAGTTGAATTAAATACAAATTCACTTTTTAAAATGAATTTCTCAAATCTTCGATGTCCATGAAGACTGTACCAAGCACTTTATTTTTCTCATGGGTATGTGCCATTACTTGCAGGATTATGGTATTGATTTTGATGACCACGATCATCCTATTAAAGCATTTCGGTGTTCTTGTGGAAGCGTTTTCTGCTGTGATAAGAAACAAAAAGGTTAGTATACAATTAGACAAGTGTTTTGGGATCTTATAATTTTGCATTCTGTTTATTTTAATGTAATTAAAATTAAAATTTATAATAAATAAATATTTTAAATATAAAATTATTTTTAAACCTTGATAATTTTTCTTAAAAAATATTGATATAGAGATGAAAGATGAAATGAATAAATATTCTATTATTAATAAGAGGAGTCATTGAGAGAATTTTTTTGGTTAGTTAAAAAGTATTGCGTAAGGCACATTAAAAAAAAAAAGTTAAAATCAACTTTGTTCTTTATTTATTATAATAATAGTTTTTCCATCTAACTTATTCAAAATATGAGGTGATAAGTTGATTTTAACATGTGGGAAAAACTCATTTTAAGTTAACTTATGCTTATAAGGAGAAATGTAGGTAAGAAGCTCACTTTTCAAGTTAACTAATAATATAATTTAGGATTAAATATAAGGGAGTTTTTAATTTGTCTTTGTAAAAAAAATTCATTTTTCTAAAATTTGAAATTATTAATTTTAGTCGTTATTATTATTATTATGTGATTTTTGTTAATTAGTTGTGTATATATATCATATGATTAAGTTATCACCTGGTGAATGTTAAAAGTAAAAAATAATGACTTTAGATTTTAGAATGATGAAAATCAAAGAAAATATTTTATGAGAAAAAAATTCAATAAATTTACAATTTTAGAAATATAAAAAAAAATTGTTTACATGAACCAAAATCGAAAACTATTCCATGACTAAAATTATTTAAACATTTAATTTATAATATTGAAGAATATACATAAAGAATAATTCATTTACTTTAAGAATAAGTTTACTTAGATTTGCTCCATTTTACATCAAATTTTAATAATTCAACCATTGAATTAAAAGTTTTTAGTGCATAAATTAAGTTTATAAAATTTTTAAAATATTTAAAAACTATTTGATACTATATTTTATTAATTCAAATTAACTGATAATATATATATATATATATATATATATATATATGAGGAAAGAACCATTTACTCCAAGAGTAAGCTTATTTAGACTTACTTTGTGATGATTGAATTTAAAGTTAATGCATAGATCAAATCTACAAATTTTTAAAAAAATTAAAAATTATTTGATAATTCATTTTATTAATTTAAATTGACGAATAATTATTAAATTTGATATAATGAAGTATCAAATTATTTTCAAATTTTTTAAAAATTTATAGATTTGATCTATGTATTAAGAATTTTAAATTTAACGGTTAGATCAATGAAATTTAATGTACAACATGAGTTATTGATCAATAAGCCTACCTAGACTTATTTCTAGAATAAACGAATCTCCCTCTATATATATAATAAAGTAATGTCACTATTTTGTTTGGTTTTTCGGTAGCATAATGTAGGATTATCTTTAAATATGCAAGTGTTCCCAAAACAAAAAAGGCATGATAGTTAAGACTTACAAGAGTGTTGGTAACTATATAAGTAGTATGATCTATCAAAATTTATTTATAATACTTTTTTTGTGAATAATAAAAAGTTTCTTCAGAAGAATGTGTTGTTAATCACTATAATGTATTGTTAATTGTTTTACTCAACATATACTACCAACATGAATGAAAGAGACTGCTAATTTGGTCTTTCCTAGGATGCACTCCACATCAATTTGGCATCCTAATATTAAAAGTGGCATCAATTTTACTCTTGGTCTTTGGAAGACTTTGAAAATCCTTAATGATATGTGAGCAACCTTTGGGGAACATAGGTTTCTTCATATTTTTCATCAAGTTTTATCTGTATATTGTTTATGTCGTTCTAATAATATGCTTTTATTTTATTGGTTTGAACGAATATGATAAGACTGATGAAGTTTCTACTTTCATTTACGATGGCTCAACTATATATAGGAAAAGGAAAAATTTAAAATCTAGTTCCTGTAACAAGAAGAACGTCTGATCTTAAACGATTGAAGTGAAGCCATCTTGCGTTCCGTATAGAAGGTGGGAATCAAATAAATTTCTCGAGGCATTCATGTTCTCTTTTCATTATGGCTCCATACTGCACTCTAGTTTCAGCTCCGATCGATCTGTTCATACATTGAAGCATAGTGTTACTGCAAATTATCAACTATATATAATCAGATGATAGTCCTGACTTTCTCTCCAATGACGCAATTTTTGACATTTTTGATCTGATTGATGCCGTTGTTTATCTTCCGGGAAAGGAACTACAATGCTGAAATTGGAAGTGGGGGTAGTTTAGACTATTACTTGTTCATTTATACTTCTGTTGTTAATTGTTTTGTAACATCCTACCCACGTTGGGGATCTAATAACGATCTCAATTTGAATTTACCCTTCCTAGTTAAGGATCATTTGCAATAATCATGCATCCTAGGCACCGTTTTATGTAGAAATTGTTCTAGGAAGCATCGTTTTAAATAAGCATCTACTATATAAATATTGAACTGATAATTTACACGCGTAATTATAAACTCATGAAAGGATACAATTAAAATTGCTTAAATAGTATGCATAACAATAAACTATATTGGTAGGTGTATTGTTATTTTGTTAAAAAAGGTCTATTTTTTTTAGTAATAATATATATTGTTAAGCTAAATGAAACAATATAACTATCGATGTCTATCAAGTTTGATAATATGCAGTTAAACAAGACTTGTATAGAAGTATAATACAGCCCAAATACGCCAAGTTTGTGTATTTTATTAACTAAAAATGAGTCTTGATTTGTAGGAAAAATATTAAAATCTTGTTTAGGATTAAGAAAAAGAACAAACTAGCCTCTCTCTAATTATTTTAGAAAATAAGAAGAGATCGATTATTAAAGCTTGTAATTAACAACTAAAACCAATTTATTAATTTTTTGAATAAAAAAATAACAAACAAATTTATCTTTTGAGAAAGTTGATCGTGCATCTCAATTTTAAAGTGGACAAGTGGAGGGAAGAGAGATATAAAAATGTTGAGAAAAAAAATGAAAAAATGTGATAAATATTATGGAAAAAACAAAAAGAAAGAAGCTAACAAGTTATTAATTTGAATGAAATTAAATCTGATACTCTTAAACAAGGTCTTGAATTCTAATTTTGTATTTGAAAAATATATAATTGAGAAAGAAAATCTCATTAAAAAAAACTAGTTATACTTGGTAGTTAAAAAAAATTGAAGAGAAAGAAAGTACCATAAGAATTGGCATTCTATGAAGAAACACACATACAAGAGCAACACAAATTTATACTAATGAGAGTTCTGTTTTGCTAATTTTGAAGAAGTTGAAATAAAAGAGCAGGAACAATAATCGAAATGTGAGTCTAACAGTGAATATCTGACTCAGGCCATCTTTCCAGAAGCACTTTTGCGCACTTTAGCGCAATACTCAAATAAGCTCCCATCAAAGCAACGCCTCACAGCTTCTTTTGACAGATACCCGTCATCATCTCTTGCTAGCATGTACAAAACTCCCCACTCAAATTTACTCGCAACCCTGCAGTTAGTTAGATTCACCCATTTTCAGTTCAGGATTCTCAACATGTGTGTTAGTGAGTGTGTATGCATGCAAATAAGTTTAAAGAGTACGTAGTAGAGGACCAGCCAAAGAAGTCAAATGCAACCCTGTTTGCCTCAGTCATGTGCCACAGCTCCTTCAATGTCAATTTATCAGGCACCTCATGACCATACTTACTGAACATGAATTCCAAATTTGCTGGCATGAACCTGCGTTGTTGTTTGTTTTAGTCATAACACATTAACACCTGATGTTACTATTCACCAAAGTAGCTAGGCATCAACACTAACCTTCCCTCTGTGTCATAGCCACCAGTGTCACTTCCATGCTTTCCCCTATGTATGTTTTTAATGTAGATTGGGAGAAAAGGTGAAGGTAGCCATGTCTGTTGTAGAAATCACAAAATGTACCACGTGATTAGGTGTATATTAATGGTGAGGTAAATTAAATACACTTAGGCCAGTTTCATGTTAAGATCGAGTGTCTCACAGGAAGAGTAGGATAACTGATAGCCACATGAATAAAAATCGAAGATATAAAGGAAAAAATCACGTTGAAACCCAGCGAACGGAATCCTGCAAAATTATCAACAACAACAATAAAATCTGTCTCCTTCGAATTAAAATAAATGAACTGACAATACATGTCTTTAACAAGAATCTAATTTAACTAGCTAGATATCACTATCTCGAGAAAGGTTGATGTAAATCAAACTTACAAAACTCACTTACAGATTGAGAATCTTTCGCTTATATATTTTAATTTCTAATTTAGTCATATAATTAGTTGACAATACAATCCGATCCTATTTGACGTAAAATATGTATGATTAGATATTCATAAAATAACTATGATTAGGAACAATCCTTCATCGATTATCACTAAGACCATTCCATTTAAAAAAAATAACTATACATCTAATTCAATCTTACAAAACTTTCTTACCAACTTATGATATGAGATGAGGATATAAATAAACAAAATATAATAATATATAAATGAAATGTAATCCTATCATTATAGACCTAGATAGGGAAGAGTTCTAAAATCATAAAAGTAAACATAGAATGGATGACAAGATTTAAAGTACCCTTATATGTCTCCCATGGGTAGACAACACCGTCATTGTTAAGGTCAAAGAAGGCAACATGCTGTTGAAGCACGGACATGTCGTTGTGTCTGTGGCCCCATGTCCCATTCACATTCTCTGTGTCGGAGGCAGTCAGAGCTCGAGGCAAATCTGATATAAAAAGAAATACAAAATTCAAATTTGATGAAACCCCATTAAAATTTCCTCATTTGGGTCCTTAATTGAATGACATCTTATTAGCTAAAAGTTCCGGAATATCAATCATCATGAATTGAAACAAATAAAAAAAGAAGTTAAAAGGAAAATAAGAAGAGAATGGTAGATAAGATGACATGGTTTGGGGAGCTTGGTGTCCAAATCCTGAGTGATCTTCCTCTGAGCAGTTACTGGTGCCTTGTCAGCCACGGTTGCCATGGCTTGGTTGGATGCTTCCACTGTTGCCATCGCAATCTCGTATCAGCAAACTCGAATGGAGCAAGTTTTGCTTTACCAAGTGCTTTGTTTTTGTGAGTTTTGGAGAAGTTACTTAGTTTGGATGCTGAATAATAGGGAATAAGAAGTGTCGCGAAGAGAGGAGAACTACACGCTAACAGTGACTGATTCCTCGCGATTGGCGTTGCTTTGGACACATGGAAATGGACCACACAATCTTTAACAATTTTGAACACCATATTTTATTACACTTTTCTTGTCATCATCCCGAGTTTGTTACTTTTTCAATCATTATTTCACATGCAAGCAAGCAAATTTCGCGTTCTAAAACTCACAAATAGCAAGTTTGGTTCTGCATGCAGTTTATTATTTTCACTTCACAACCACCCATACGCAAAACCAACACTAAGTGTAAAAAAATGTTGGTTGTAAACAGCAAAGCATGTGAAAGAATAAATTAAGGAAGTTACTAGGGTAGCTTCTAAATTAAGATATTTTAATATGGTAAATTTTTAAAATTAATAAAAATGATTTAAAAGTTTTTCTCTTTTTCTTTTCACTTTCACTTTTTTTTTCTTATACACTAAGTGATTTTTTGTTTAAGCAATTAATTTACTCTTTTTTCTCATTAAATACTAATTCAAGCATTTTAAATCATTTTGTAAAAATTAAAATAACTTTGAAAAAAATATAATAAAATTTTATTTTCTAAAATAGAGGATGATTTTGTGAAATTTTTATTCAATTTGTTTCTCAAAATTTACATATAAATATGAAAATTCTCAATTTATCTTGAATCATAATATATAAAAAAAATATATATATCCATAATATATAAATCCAAATATTTCATGTAATATATATATATAGAGAGAGAATTTTAAGAAAATAATAAATGTAATCAAGTTATTCTAAAATATCAAATGTTTACATATTTTTTTAAAAAAAATAAAAAGTTTCAAAATCCTTTAAATTTTCAATGATACCTTAGAATTTCTCATAAATTAATTTAAAATGCTGAGCTACACTAGGACCCATTTTTTCATCTCATAAATTAATTTAAATGCTGAGCTACACTAGGACCCATTTTACTCACATTTCAGAGACACATTCATTACTCATTCATTTTTACCAAACAAATTAACTCGAAGCCTATCAACATCTTTTATTTATTTATTTGATGTCACTGTTTGCTTTTCTTATTTGTTTCATTGGCCCATCTAGCTTTTTCCTTTCTTTTCTTCTTGGTCCAATGGGACTCAACATCAGGCTTGCCCTCTATTTCCTCTATTGCTGGTTTTGGGTTTGTGTTTTCTTTAAGAAATAAGAGTTCTCCAAAAACTAAGCAATCCAGATCAGTGGTTCATGAAATAAATTTAAAGTTATAATAATAGTGATAAAATATAAAATAAAAATAATTCTTAAAAAATCAACCCTATATATTAAACATAATTTTTTTATTTTGTGCAATAGTACTTTTAATAATGTTGTTAACTTTTTATCTAATACAGTACTTATTTATCATAATTATTAATAAATTAATTTTTAATATTGTTAAAATATATTATTAATAAATAAAAATAATATTATATTATGATATAAATAATTTATTGTAAATTTATATGTTACTATTAAAATATATATATATATATATATAATTTATATATTTAAAAATATTTATTTATATAAATTTTAAATATAAATTATATATTTAAATATAATATTTATTTATATATAAGTTATTATAAATTTTAGTTATATATATATTTAGTTTTGTACATTATATGAGTTAAAATATTAGTATAGGTAAAACCGTAAAGCTAATCTATTTATGCAAAAAAAAAAATCCCAAAAAAAATAATAAATAAAATAAAGTTAATGTTTTGTTTTCAAAGACCTTTTTTTAAATGTCTTAAAAAAATTAATTTTTAATATTCCACCGTATATTGTTCCAGTTGCTAAATATGTAAGTCATGTGTGTGCTTGTATACTATGTGTATGTGTGTTTTACTTGTGCAATAATTACCATAAAAAATCAGAGAAATGGTGTTTCTAATTTTTTTTTATCATATGAATGATGTTTTTAATCTTTTGAAAGTTATAAAAAAAAAAATTACTAACATTACATTGAAATTAATTAAATTCATATATGCCGTACAATATTCACAAAAAATGCTATACAAAAAATTAAATATTATATTAATGTTATGTATTTGTTTAAATATAATCTAAATATGCAAATAATATTACAGGAAACTATTTTTCATTTTAATAGATATTTTCCTATTTACATATGCATAACATGTTTGGAAAAGATTGTAATCTTACATTTTAGTTGGTTTTTTAAAGTTGTTAAAAAGGTATATTTAGAACTGATAACTTAAATTTGTAAACAAGATTATTTTGATAAAAAAAATTAATTATTTTTATGAAATTTGAAATTTGAAATTTATGATTAATATTTAACAAATTTTTACTTTTAAAACTGATTAAATTGATTCTTTTTATATCAGAATAAAATTAATTATAAAAAATATTTTTCAGCAAATTTATTTTAAAAATATTTTAATTATAATTAATTATCGAAATAATTAAATTTTTATAACTTTCTGATATACACATGATGTTACCCCTTCTAAATCTATATATAAGAGAAAAGAAATCAATTTCATACAAATTAGGAAAAGTAGTTAAATATATTTAATTTTCATGATTTTATATAAAATATATATTAAATTTATTAAAATATTTATGATCACATGTATTATAAATAATATTTTTATTTATTATCTTATGAATATTTTTAGATTAAAAATATTAAATAAAATTAATTAAAATATATTTACATTTGAGTGAAAAACCTTAAACAATTTTTTTGGTTATATGTATGTCGTAGGGGTTGAGAGAGTGTCAATTAATAATTGGCTTGAGATTTGTGTTTGCCTCAATAATAACAGCAGCAGTCTGAACTTGTTAATGCTGAAGTGTAGAAGGTGGAATGTTCCCACCTAGCAAGAGTCATGTTCATCTTTTTTTTCCCTCGTCGAACCTTTTTTACCTATTCACGCATTTTATAAAATATATTACATTCAATAAATCTAATAAATATAATATATATATATACATATATATAATATTTAACAGTATTATTTGAATAAATTATATACTCATTTAATAAATGTGTAATCTTTAACATGTATTTGACACGTATTAAAAGTAAAGGACAAGGAAAATGATATATACTTAAATTATTGAATAATCTTTTATTCTAAACATTGTTTGATGAATAATAGATAATATAAAAAAATAATGTTAAAGTTATTATAATATATTTTTTAATAATTTTTTATTTTTATTTATAAAACGTAACTTAAAATAATTGTTTGCTTTTTTAATATAAGATTCAATTTATATTATCTTATATATTTTTTAATGTTAGATTAAAATATTCATAATTAAAGTGTGTTTCCTTAATTTTGATAAAATGTATTAATTATAAATTTTAAATCTATTTAGTTAAAAGAAAGAAAAGTATTAATCAAGAGAGATAAATAGTATAGAGCATACATTCTAATTGATTAGAAGATACATGAGTATGAGAATTAGAAGAAAAAATTAGTATAGAGGTAGTATTAGAAAAAATATATAAATAGGACAAATTTACTATTATCAACTAAATTAATTATTTTTCTTAATCTTGATAAATTAGATAATTAGTTCTTATATATACGAAACAAATATAAGGTTACTTATTATAACAAGTTATTATTATCTTAATAATGACAATAATAAAGAGAACTGTGATGAAAATAATAATAATAATGGTGGTGCTAGTAGTTATAATAATAACAACAACGACAATGATATAAATATGGTAATGACAAGTGATATCAAATACAGTGGTGATAGATTGCATTAACAACAATTGTGGTAGATAGTGATAGGCAACAATGGTAAGAGTTAAAGTGGTGGCGATGCAATAACATGGTAGTAGTGCGTGTTTTTATACTTGGGACAAAAAGTTGTATTGTGTTTTATTAAACAACAAAAATTTGGATTTTTGTCTTGTTTTTCTTTATCTTTCTTGACCTATCCAATAATCATCTTATAAATCGAACATGAAACAATTATATTTATCTTATCCAATATTATGATTATTAGCGAATTAAATGGACCATAAAGGATTTATTTGACTCCATTAATTAAATAATATATGAGTTGTTAGAGTATCTCTAATAAGAATTACTTAATAATTAAATATTATTTTAATGCATCAAATGTAATTTTAGAGCGTGTTTGCTTCTGCGTTTTGAACACGAATTTTCACGTTGAATGAGAAGTAAATAACTATAACTTCCACGTTTTTTATAATAAATTATGTGATTTTTATGTTTCTGACGCGTTTTCAAACACGCACTTAGATTGCTTAAAATTAGATAAAGTTTCCTATTAAAACAATCATTCTTTACAAGAGCGAGAATATGAAATGTTGAAGAGAGAAAAATATTTGTGATTTCAAGTAAAAATTAAGTAGGTTGTTTATAATTGAGGTAACATTAAAAAATAAAATGAGTTGCTTATTTAAATACCATAAGAGATGTTCTTATAACTTTTTAATCTATAATGTCTATATTTCTTTCGTTTCTGTATATTTCACTCCACATGCTAATTAGCATTACATATTCCCTTCACCTGGGCTATAAGAAACAAATAAAGCTGTATTGAATGTTTGGAAACAACGACCACCCTTTCGTGGCATCTAGACTCGTTATTTTCCATGAAAACATAAAACTTGAGAATAATAGCATCTGCGAACCAATGGGAGCTTTCTAAGGTGATAATAATATTAGTTTTTTTTTAATCATAATATTAGTACATATTCACGCTAACTAATCTTTGTGAGATATATAAAGTGATTATTTTCTTTTTAATATAATATATTCTATATCCAATACAACTTTAAATAATCAAGTAAAAAAAAACATAAATTGCTAGTATGTGTATGAATCAATGCTGATATAATAATAATAGTTAATCACATGGTATTAGTACTAAAAACGTGGAAAAGGGAATTCATTAAAAAAAAAAAAAAAGTGTAATTAGAGCATCTCCTCCATCCAATTTCCGCAAAATTGACGCAGCAGGGCAAGACAGAAGAAGAAAGTGGCCAAAAGGATTAGAAAGTGACAAGGATCGACCTTTGTGTTCAGTTTCTGACTAATCTCATTTCAGTATTGGTTGGAAGCAATGTATCCAATTCCCAAAGCCTGACTAATATCGATTGGGGATGTGATTGTAGGTAATGTAAGAATTTTTTTTATTAATATAATCTATTTCATATTCAGTATTTAAAGTGAAGATTCGAACTTTTATAATTTGATTAACAAAAAATTACTCCCATCCCACATGTGTGAAACTAATGTTGGTATAATAATATTAATGAGTAAGATAGTATTAGTACTGAAAACGTAGAAAAGGGGGTGGTGGTGCATAGTAATTAGAATTTAGAAGGGCATGTAGATAGAAGAAGAAGTGGCCAAGAGGAATTAGAAAGTGACAAGGATTGACCATTTTTGACATTCTCACTCCTCACTCACCACTCGTTAGCAGCCTTTCATATTCATCAGCAGCCAACATGCACTTTACTTTACGACCTTATTTATTTATTTTTTTCATCTCATTATTTTCTTACGTTATCAAAGTCAACAACTTGCAAATGGCAACTAGGAAGCAACAAACAAACAAACTCAATCACAGGACATGGACTGAATCGGACGGCTCAGAACCAACCTGGCCCGCACGTGCGAGCCGCAGGATGGTCTTTTCGCCTCACTTATTACCGCTAATGATGAGAAGAAGAACCAAAAGCAAGAGCATAGGATGGACGGAGTTTGGGTTCAAAGGTTGTTTGTTTGAGTTAAACACGACAAACCCAAATACGTGTGCATTACAACTCCCTCTCCCTCATCCTCTTCTCTCTCTCACACACCCCAATTTGGTTGGATTCCCAGCTTTTTAGATTCCTTTACCGTTTTTCCCAATTCCAAACTATTCCCTAATCATCGTCTTCCCTTTAAAGGTCAGGTTTTTTTTTTTTGTTTTTTGTTTTTTGTTTTTTGTTTTTTGTTTTTTTTCTGTTGTTCCATACCCCAACTTCCAAACTTTTCTCCTTTTCTTATCATTATTGGCTTGGTTATGTTTTCGCATAAGATTATTTGTAAATTGAGCTTTCGTCTCTTCAACTTCTGTGTGCCTTGGTAAATTTTGTAACTTTAGTTTTTTTTTTTTTTTAATGAAAATTCTTTGAATCTGGAAGTGTGTTTTTGATCTGGTTTGGTCTGAATTGGGTGGTTTCAATGAACGATTATTGGTTTCAAAAGAGGCATCTTGCGTGTGGTGGTTCCTTTTCTATAATTTGTGGTTGTAGAGAACGCGGTGTGGCAGTTATGTGTTTCTCTGACACGGACGATGACATTTGTGGATGCTTTTAACTTCCATTTGATGGCATAACACTATTCTTATTCAGCTCTAACTTCTGCCGAAGCTGATGTTTGAACTGAACTCGTTTCTAATTCGACATTCATATTGGTATTTTCTAGATTGGTCTTTGCGTGGTTTATTATTAAAATTCAGCAGCAACACGCCTTTACCACCCATTTTTTTCGTCATGACTGATGGATATTTCAGGCTTCTTATTTCTGGTTTCAAGCTAATCACTTTTTTTTAGAATAAATAAATGTTTTTTTTGGGGTTGGATTTCTTCAGTTTCACCTACACTGTCAGATTACTAGTAAATCTGTTTGCAATTTTATCACTAATAAACTGGCTTTTGTACCTTATGCTCAAGGTTCTACATTGCGGTTATAGTTGCAGTTTTGTCGCAAACTCGCAATCTTTGATTTTGTGGGAAACTACAGACAAATGCGGTGGATGAGTTTGTAGAGATCCCCAAAACTTTGTCGTTACATCTAAAATTGCAGTTGCTAACCGTTTTTTTACAACCTCGGTTATGCTTCTTATTTTGTCTTATTAACTTTGCGATTTTAAGTTGTAATTTATTCTGAAGAATAAGCTTCAAGGTTAAACCACTGTATATACAGTGTGAAGGTGTCGCTGATTTTCCTTTCGTACCCCATCTAAGTTGTAGATATTGTGATTTCAGTTACAATTTTTCTGAGCTTGTGTTGGCTAGCTTGGTTTTATTCCTCAAAATCTTTTGCCATTCTTTGAATAATATCTATGAAAATTGTGATGTGTTTGGGCATTGGATAACATAGTTGTAGTAATTTTATCTGTTTTCTAGTGCTTTTATGACTTCAACTATTTACTTCTCAGAGGATTAAGCTTATGGTATTGACCAGTGAGATATGGAAAAGGAGAAACAAATTAGCCTACCAAATTGCTGTATATTTTGTCCATTTGGTGGTAAAGATAATTTGTCATTAGTAGTTGATTAGCTGACGTACAACTTGTCTTTTTATGTTGAAATCAGGGCAGACGAAGCTGATTTTGGGAGCTTCAAGAGTTATGTCTTCATCTTCTCGTGTTCTTTCCACTCCCCTAGAAAACAAGTATATGAAACCCCCAGATTCTTTTCAGCTTTCACCCGTTAAAGATCTGACTGCAAATTCTTCCTCATCAAATTCAAACAGAACTGCTGGGAAGATGCTTTCATCACCTTCTGAATGTCCCAATGACAACCCTTTTTCCTCTGTTTCACAGCATGAGAGACAATACCAAGATCCCCCCTTTGTTTCTCAAACAATGACTGACAATGTGTCATCCGAAATACATCCAACTACATTCATTTCTCACCCTCAAGAAAGTGAAGATATTTCCTGGGGACCAGATCCATTTCAGGATATTCTTGGTTTTCCTGAAAATGTTTCTGTCCAGCATGATCAGGTGGAAGACAGTGCTGGTTACTTAAATGATGACAATGTCAAAAAAACTGATTTTGGGGAGTGGGTGGATCAGTTAATGTCAATTGATGATTCTCTTCACCCAAACTGGAGTCAGCTTCTTTGTGATGACAATGTAGCAGAACCAAAACCAAAGGTTTGTTTCTCAAGCTGATTACTACAATGCTTGTTCTCACCTGTTAAGTTACTAGAACGAGTAGGCTGCATCTCATTTCTGAATGCTTCTTTGTGGTCTAATGAGTCATGATTTTCGTACTTGAACTAGTTACAGATGCAGATGAAAATCAAGTTAATCTTGATCTTTTTATCTGTTATGATAAGTGACTAAACGATGTCTATAAATCTCCATATAAGTTTCCCCTTTCATTAGCCTTTCTGCATGGAGAGAGTTGTAATTAATTCGGTGCATTTAGGTGCTCAGTTCTATTTTCTATCTATTTCATCACCATGCACATGTGAATTTGTATGCAGTTCATTCCCTCTTCTCTTCTATGCTGTATATGTGGTTCTTAGCAGTTTGAACTTTGAACTCTTTTTATCATGTACCTTAACTTTTTGCTCAATAGATTCTACTATTTATGTATTTATTTTTATTGTACAAGTTGCAGAAACATATCCTACTCTGTTGATGCAGGCATCTCAGGTTCCTCAGCAGCAGCATATTCCATCTGTAGAAGTTCTTTGTAATGCAGCAGCAGCAGCAACTGCATCGCAGACTAAGCCTAGAATGCGTTGGACTCCAGAGCTTCATGAGGCCTTCGTGGAAGCAGTCAATCAACTTGGCGGTAGTGAGAGTATGTTTACTTCTCCGTAATAATCTCATACTTTTGACCTTCTATCTGGAATGTTTCTTGTCATCTCATGATGTTAACAACTTAACATACAGAGGCTACTCCGAAGGGTGTGTTGAATCTAATGAAAGTTGAGGGCCTTACCATCTATCATGTAAAAAGCCACTTACAGGTACATCTGTGATTTATCATCCTCTTAAATAGCTTGTGGGCGAATGCCAATTTATTTAGCTAATGTTTTTCACAATTGTTTTACTTTTTAAAATATTTTTTTTATTTATTTATTTCAGAAGTATAGAACTGCCAGATACAAACCAGAGTCGTCAGAAGGTATGCTAAAGTGTATTTGCGAGTTCTATTGTGCATATAACCAAATTTCAAGGAAGATGTTTTATTTGCAATATCAAATGCATTTCTTTATATGAATTGTTCTTTATTCTTCCTTAACCCTATTTTTGGATTGAGAGAAAGAAAATTCGGAGGAAAGAACATCTTAAAAATTGGGAATTTCTCTTAATTGTTGAAGAAAGAATGAAAGCAGAAGTAGTGAGGAAAGAGAAGTCTAGAAAACAAAAATCAACTTTTCCTCTTCATTACAAAGTTCAAATTATTTTCTCCCTTCCTCTCATCCAAACAAAAGGAAAGTGTTGAATGCCTTTTTTCTCCCATTCTCCATGCATTTCAACAATACCATTTCTTTAGGGTCACAGTGCATTCTAAAAGCACAGAATTTCCTTTTCATTTTGACCAAAAACGAGTAAGGGTGTGAATGAGTTCCTTTTCCATGCCAGCAGGAACGTCTGAGAAAAAGGCGACTCCAATTGAAGAAATGAAATCTCTAGATTTGAAAACGTGAGTTCTCTTCTCTCTCTCTCTCTCTGTTTACATGTTAGTTATTGCAGAGTGTATTGTTTACTCAATGTAACTTTCCTCTATTTATTATTTATTTTAACGAGATATAACCAAACTAAGATTGGTACCAATTAGATAGCCCATACAGGTTTGATTTTAACTATTGCTATGATACTATCTTCATATCGTACGTGAATAGTTGTTCCATAATAAGGTACTTTAGTCTTAAAATGAACAGCAATGCTCATAAACATACTTGGGTTTTTCTTTTGCAGGAGTAAGGGGATCACTGAAGCATTACGATTGCAGATGGAACTCCAGAAGCGACTTCACGAACAACTCGAAGTAATTAATTTATAATTTAATTACATATTTGGTCTCTATCTAAATAATCTTTACATTTGAATCCTTACACTTAAAAACTATTAGTTTTGGCCTTATCACTACACATTTTAATCTGTTTAAGTCCCTGTTGTCTAAAATTGTAGGACTAAAATAGATTAAAAAGTATATGTACATGGGACTAAAAAGAGTTGGGAACTAAAAGGAGAATTAAAATGTAAAGATTGTCCCATTATAAGAACCAAACGAGTTATTAAATCTTAATTTATTAGTATTTGTGATCCACTGTGGCGGGGTGTTGTTTGCCTGGTCTTTCTTATTAGGAAGAGATGAATTTCAAGTGTTTTGATATCGTAACTGTGATGCAGATCCAAAGAAAGTTACAGATTCAAATTGAAGACCAAGGGAAACGTCTTCAAATGATGTTTGAGAAACAGAGAGAGATGGGTGACGGCAATGGTAAGGGTTCATCCTCCTCTCCTTTGGACGAGCCTTCGGGTGCAGTTCCAGACACAGTGATTCCAGTAGAAACCTCAAATGAGGAAGGTGACAAATTTGGAAGCATTCCGAAAGAAGGGGATGCAAGGGCAGATGAAGATGAAGCTGCACCCCCCACAAAACGGGCCAAAAGTTCATGACAGCAAGACTCTTTAATCCTTCTAGTCTAGATTTGTTTAATATTCTTGGACTTTGTATAAATATTATTGGATCCAGGGATGTTTCAACTTGGTCATTATGACATGAAAGCCGCATGTTTTATAAGGTTCTTGGTTTTTTTCTTTTCCTTTCCAAATATTCTTTATGATTCATCGTGAATCAGAGGTCATGGTGGCTCATACTCATAGCGCCGGAATTTTGTTTATGATTGTCTTCTGTTTCCTTAGACTACTCATTCTGTGTTTTTTCACATGTAAACTAGATATCATACCCGATTTTTTCACGAGTTATTAATGTAAAAAAATTAAATGTTATTTAATCTATAAATATATAAAGAAATCAAGTTTGACGAACAGAGAAATAGAATGAAGCGAAATTTATAAATCAATTCATTTTGTGTTATATTATTGAATATTTCAATTTAAGAGATATGGGATGAAATGAAATCAGAAGGAATTAATCTTATTCAGCTAATTGAGGTTGTAACAGTTCCATTTTTAGAAGAAATGAAATGAATAAAGTAGTTTTCAAATTATCATCTAACTCTCTCATACTACTAATAAGGTGTAATTATAATAAATAAATATTTTGTATTGACGTATTTATTTATAATTAATTACATAGAGGAAGTGAGGTAAGAACGGCGGAAGAAAGAGATGTTGTTCCAGGTGGGGGGCCAAGGGAGCCGCCCGACTGTTTCTTCATATCTTCTTTCAATTTTTCTTCCTCTTGCCTTAAAATTCTCAACTCTTCCTCAAGATAAGCAAGTTGTCCTTCTCTTTCAATTCTTTCCTTCTCTCTTTGAATGGACTCTTGCTTTTTCCATAGTTTAAGTTCTTCGAGATGGCGGCGGCTCAGCAGCTTCCGGCGAGTCTCCGCGGCGCTCTGACGTACTCGATCGGCGTCTTGGCCTTGCGGAGACCATTCCTTCACAAACTCTTAGACTTGGAAGACGAATCCTTCGCCTTACTCATGCTCGTCCTCGAATCCCACACCTTACGAACCACAGGTACCTATTTAGTATTTACACACCTCGCGTCACGCATAGCGATATATTCACTTTCCTCTTTTTTCCCCATTCTAGATGCTTCCTTTTCCGAATCTCTCTACGGCCTCCGGAGAAGACCGGCCAATATCGCCGCCAATTTACGGAGGCGCCAGAAACTTCTTTCCGTTGTTTTTTTGGTAATCGACTGTGCTCTTCCTTCGTGCAACCCTAATTCTTCTTAATTCTGATTAATTGCGCTGTTGGAACAGGTTGTGCTGCCGTATTTCAAGTCTAAGTTGCATTCAATCTACAACAGAGAGAGGGAAGCGAGGCTTCAAGCCACTCTATGGGGAGATGAAAGCCAAGGGTACGATGATGGACGAGGAGGTTTCCAACAAGATTATTCTCCATCTTCCGGTGCCGGTGCCTCCGTCACGACGCGCTTAGCAAAGAGAGCGCAGAGATTTGTAGGGATTTGCTACCCGTGGTTACATGCTAGTACTGAGGGTATGCCTAATACAACTTTCTAGCAATTAGGATTTTTTAATTAAGTCTAACGTGAGATATTTACGATGCAGGCTTGCAATTTGCTTACCAGATGTTATACCTGTTGGATGCTACTGGATACTACTCACTTGCACTTCACGTTCTTGGGATTCATGTCTGCCGCGCTACCGGCCAAGAACTGGTAGAGATTTAGGAATTAGGATATTGTTGCATTTACAAAAGTCTTCATTATTTTTGTGTTATTTGAAAGAAAAGGAAAACTCCGCCATGCATTTTTTCATCTGTGACGCGTGCATAACTCCTTATTTTCAACATTTGAAAATACTCTTGCCATCTGGTGGTTGTTAAGCACTGTTGCGTTACGGGTTGCAAGTTGCATGCTTGTTTGTTTGTGTTAAGTTGGTTAGTGAGTGGAATTATGGAAGAAAAAATCTATTGGCTTGTGTCAAAGTTTGTAGCTGTTGCTAATTTGATGCATGATCCTTCCAAGAGTACCAAATCTTGTTTCAAAGGCAATGAGTCATTGTCTGCAGCATCAATCTGTCATGTACCTATGTTCTATGTTATGGTAATTGTGCTTGAGAAAATATATACTGCTGTTATTTGCCTTTTTCAATATACGAGACTCAACTAAATTATTGAAAGTAACAACTCGTGAGCTTTATTTTGCAGTTTAAGAACTTTCTTATTGCTTGGCTAATACCAGAAGAGAAATTTGACATTTCTATTTACATGATTGATTTTTCTCTTCTCTCCTTTCATGTCAAGATAGATGGATACCTCTTCTAGAATTTCAAAGATGCGTAACCGTGAACGGGAGAGACTTCGTGGTCCTCAATGGTTGAAGGTATGTGATTCTTTTTTCAGTGTAGTGACTTTATCTTTCCCTGTCTTTTCATGAATTACGAAGAAACTGGACAAATTAGTTATACTCTATCGTCGTTGCCCATGTTTTTCTGCTTTTCGCGTGTAGACTGGTATATAATATTATCTTTTATGGGGGGTTGGGGTTACAAATATTTGCTTTTAATATCTAGACAGAGCTAAATTTATAAATCATTGTATAAAGTTGAGTATATTTCTTCCTTTCTTGTTACTCTCATTGAACTTTAATTGCATTCTTTAATTAGTTGAATAATTTCTAATGCTGGTTTATAAATATTTAAGATGAACTCATGCCATTTTGGATATTTATTTAGACAAAAAATTGTAATATCTTTGATAGAATAGATAGAGGAGCCAACAAAAACAATGTTGGACTGTTTGTATACAAACATATGCCATTTTTATTACATGATCATGGTTATATGTTGTATTCATATTTCAGACATTGCAAGGAGCATTGCTCAGCTGTACGTACACTGTACTTGACTATGCACAAACCGGCTTGATTGCAGCAGTGTTCTTCTTTAAAGTGAGATAGCTAACCCTTTATTGTAGCTTGGTATCTATTATCAATAATAATATTGCTACTAATGTGGGGTCATTGTTGGCTCAAGCCTCTTATTCCATTTCTTGAGTGGTTCAGTTTATCTCAAGTTTGATTTCTAGTTCTGTCTAGGGGTCCCCTTAACTATGCTTTTTGGTGATATGCTGTTAAATGGGTTAGCTTTATGTGCGAGTTACTAAGGAGCATAATTATTAACACATTAGCTTTGTGAACTATTTAGATGATGGAATGGTGGTACCAGTCTGCTGAGGAGAGAATGTCAGCTCCAACAGTATATCCTCCGCCCCCTCCTCCTCCACCACCAAAGGTGAAAAAACAAATTTTAAGCTTCTCTCCCACCTCTCTTTCTCCAACTGTAGTTGTTTTGGCTAGTTCTTTATTTCAGCTGAATCTGAAGTATGAATTATTCTGGACAAATAAATTAGAACTATTTTCAACTTTCATTGTAAGAGCTTCGTTTTCACTATATTTTGCTAGATTTGCACCTCTTTGATGTAGTGCCACACTGTCAGTTATTAAAATTTCTAAGTAGTTAAAGAAAGTCTGTGGGTTCATTGTCTAATCTGTAAACAGGTAGCGAAAGAAGGGATACCACTACCACCAGACAGAACAAATTGCCCCTTGTGCTCCCAGAAGCGTGTAAATCCATCTGTGGTTACAGTTTCGGGGTTTGTCTTCTGCTACGCTTGCATATTTAAGTATATTACTCAGGTGAGAACTTTAGACTCCCTAACTGTGATGTTGAGAGGAAGTAGGTTTATTATTCGTGATTCGTTATATCTGACTTCCTATGTTAAAATTGATATTTTGTGGTTGCACGAACCTTCTGATAGACAGAATTTGCTTAGATTTAAATGTGTTTGTCGTAGGGGATCATCACTCATTTATTCTGGATATTTAGCATTTTCCTTATTCTTAGACCATACTTTCTTTTAATCTATATTTAACGCTAGTTTTCGTGCTTCCCCATTACAGTATAAGCGCTGCCCAATTACGTTAATGCCTGCAACAGTTGATCAGATAAGGAGACTCTTCCATGATGTCTAGGACCTAGTTAGAGTATAATTACAGTTATCTGGAGTACATGGGCAAAAAGATTCCCAATTATTGTTGTACTAATGTATATATATTATGAAAGAGGTTCACCAAAGATTCCCAATCATTTTGTTATTTTCCTTATTCATTCGTTTACAAATCATCGGTTAGTGGCAACGGTGGCTGGCACTATGCTTCGGCAAATGAACTAATTGTCAATACAAAAAAATACAATTTGGAACAATGATTTTTATTTTCAAAGCATCGTCTAGACCCTAATTATGCTCGATATTTGTATTTGCACAAAACAACTGCGAACGTAAGAATGTCAATTTTAAATTACCTACGCGTCATATGATCAAAGAACTGAATAATATACTAGTAAAGAAAAAAAAATGGTTTATGCAAATATACTTCCATGGCTACAAAAACAAAAATCACCGAAAGGATCCTAGCTCAAACTTCTGAAACACTGGCTTCAAACGCTTGTTCTAGTCTGGCCTGTAATGCTGTTGAACCTCTTTTCAGATCCTGCAATTCAAGCAATCTTGATTTGTTCAGCTTTATCCGTACGCTAACCAACTAATTAATAAAATATAAAGTTGATTACCTTTCCACTTTTGTTGAATTCCAACTCCATACTCTGCTCTGTGTGACTCCAGTAGCTCCCAACAGTACCTATGATGGGTGTCTCGTCCGGACTCCGGCTACTAGACTTTTTTGGAGATATAGATATAGAAAACATCCTTATCTCATCAACAGTTAATGCTCCTAAAATTGGCCTCTCCTCGTGACTCCAAGGTGAACCTCTTCTTCCTTTGGGCGTGGTTTCCGATTCAGCCAACCAGCTCGAGAGGCTTGTGTCAACCCCAATTTCAATTTCTTCCTTCTTATCATTCAACTTCTGCCTTGGCTTGCGCTTTGCCACCTTCAAACTAGGCTCTGGACTGATGGGTATGTTAACATCTTGCACTACCAAGTTCATGTTTTCTTTATCCTTCTTCAGTGGCTGAAGCACTGTTTCTTTGCCAATCCTCCCTTGTGTAAGATTCTCAATTGGATTCAGCACTGAGGAAACATCCTGAATCTTCCCTTTTGTTCCTTTTTGTGTGACGTATTTTGTACCATGATCTGGCAATGGCATTAGACTGTTAACTTCGTTCTCTGCTTCTTCAGCTGATGAAATTCGAATTCTAGAATCAGCAGACAGAGAAAACAAAGATTCCGAAGACTCTTCTTCCTTTTCTCTCTTCTCACTGTGACGATCATCATCATCTACAACCGTAGCATCCAAATCACTTTCATCTAAATTAATATCATCGTATCCCTCATCATGGCAATCTCTATACCTATAATGAGGGACAGGGTGATTCGCTTTCTCTTTTTCTCCTTCGTTTTCGTCCAACTTATTGATCGGTTCATTGGCCGAAGATTCTTGTTCCTTCTTTATGGCAATGGAACTTGGTTGCTGCTCTTGAGAAAATTTTTCACCTGGACTCAGAAGCGACGAAACATGTTCTCTTTTGCCTACGAATTGCATTGCACTGTTGACTTCAACATCGGCATCTGAAACTTGTTTTCGAGAACAAATGGAGAGAGAGAACAGTGACTCCGAAGACTCTTCTTGATGCGATCTTTTGTTAATCTCATCATCTTCTTCTTCACGGCCATCCTTGTTCTCATCTTCCTTTGATGTTTTTTCATGCTCATCCTTGATGATTCCAGCACTGTTATTTGATTGCTCTTCGTTTTTTATTCTGAAAGCGTAAAATGACGAGATAACTAAGCAGTCATATCATGGCTAATCAAAATAAATAAAATAATAAGGGAATGGATAGCTTACTTTAATTCCGCTATGCAATCAATGAGTTCTTGAACAACTGGTTCTTCTCCCACACGGGTCTGTGACAAGGTATGAGAAACCAAAAAAAAATTGAAGCTTTAAGAGAGAGAGAGAGAGAGAGATGTAGCAAAGTGAATGAGCTTACTTGTGTAGGAGTTGCATCTGCAGAAGATGATTGGTTTCGGCGTTTAGAAGTGCGAAAACAAGGCAGAAAGCACCTCATGATTATTAAAGTGACTTTGGTTCTAAAGAAGAGAAAGGAGTGTTGTGAATGTCATGATAAGGGAGAAGAGAGAAAAAGGAAGAGAACAGAACAGAGAAGCAAAACGGTCATGAAAAGGTTCAGAATCTCGGAGAGGACAGCGGAGCTTTTCAAATTTGACCGTTAAGATTCCCACATCTGTTCTCCCTCCCATTTGGGCCCATCGCTCAACTCTTGCCTAATTCAACTTTTTTAATAATAATCCCAACGTTTCATTTTGTCTATCTCTTATATGTTTTAATTTGATTGTCGCTTACAATCTTAAACATTAAATATGTTTTCTTATTATATTTTTAATTATTATTAATATATTATTTAATTATTGGGCTAAAATTCAAAAGGTTTAACACCAGAAGTTATATAATTTATTTTATAAAATTAAATATATTAATTATATTTTTTAAGTCATCAAAATCTTAAATGTCAAATTAAATGAAACGGATTTTTTTTTTAATTTGTTGATTAGATTTGAATTTAAAGTTAATCGTTGATTCTTATAAATATTGTGTTTTGTTGTAGTGTATTTGGTTTGAGAAAAAACGTGAAAGTAATATGAGATAAGTATTCTTTAAAAGAAATATACAAAAATAATGTTATTTTTTATTTCTTACAAATATCTAAGACTTCCTATTAAACTAATCTTATAAAAATAATATTATTTGAGTCATATAATCCATAAAAATAATGACAAATATTTTTCTTTCCTATTTCCATTTTGGATAGAAAACTCGAGTTTTAATTATTTCATCTCTCTATTAAAACATTAAAGTTTCAAAGAAAAAAAGTTTTTTTTTTTTTCAAATTTCTCTTTGTTTTCTTTCATTTAAAATAAAGCATTAATTCATCAATATACAGTAATTAAGAGAGAGTGTGTAATAAATTGTATTGATTGTTATTAAAAGTTAAATTTGATTGTATTTTCTTTTGAGTGGTGAATCAGGATATTCCTAAACAAAAAGTAAAGAATACTTTATTAATTATTCAGATTCATTTAAAGAGTGAAATTTTCCTGACAAATGATTATAAAATAATAAATTATATTTATACGATATTTTTATGCAACTTTTTTACAACTAAAAAGAGAGAAAAGATGAAATAAAACAAGCAATATGATAAAAAGAAATAAAAAAATGATATATATATATATATATATATAGTATTCAAAATATTTATATCCTTTATTTTTGTAGTGTCATATGCTTGAAATAAAAATTTCTACCATTCTGTGCTTTCATCCTATTTTCACACCAGCGAGGATGACAATTGCTTTTACAGATATTTTTCGAGAGAATGGGCCACTTAACTTTAAGATTTGAATTTCGCAAATGTTATATTTCATTCAAACATTAGATATGCTGGGGTAAGCGAATCCTTTTAAAACATCCAAAATCTAGAAACAGGGAGATTACCACTCACGAAAATGTAAAATCGATAATCATCGACATAGATGTAGATACAAATAGTAGTATCTAAGGACAACTAAAATGAAGCCAAGCGAGATCTAGGGAGCAATACACACTTGCTCTTCAATTCCTCTTCACTGGCAAGTGGCAATACAACAATTTATAGAAGATAAAGCTTTCTTCGCGAAACGAGGAAAAAGAAAAAATAAAGGCACCTTTTTCTTAACTAATAACAATTGGTTGCCCAAGAAATTTCTAGTAAATTCTTGGAGAAACCCTCCAACGTAGAACTGTAATGTCTGTCAAATTCTCTCTGGCAACAATTATCATACTACTATTCTTCTTCTACGTCCTGATTCACTCCATCTCCGCCTTTTGCCACTGTCTGCTTCTTATGTTTCTTACTTTTGGCTTTCTTGGCCTTCATTCTGCGTTTCTTCTCATTGGCGTCCACCCATTTGTAATCTGCAGGTATGCTGAAAGGATCAACTTCATCCTTATATCTGTGACTATCTGAGTCACTTGACTGCCCCCCACGACTTCCTTTCATCCATGAAATCCATGAACTAGACCCCTCTGATTCCTTCGATTTCGCATCATGGAAATGTGCTGGGCTCGAGAGTGGTGTCGAAAACTCCTCTACTGGCTGAAGCTCCTCAAATTTCGTAAAAGTGACAAGCACCCGGATAGTAGGAACTATCGGGATAGCAACCTGAGTACCACAAGTTATTGTCGTTAAAACCAGATGCTTTTATAAAGAACAAGCATGGATGGATACTGAAACATGCCACACGACAGACAGTAACAAACAGGTAGAAATCACGCATAAATTACACCATCACTCAAACACAATTTGATTTTTTTTGTAGTTTATATTAAGATAATCTAACTGACTGATGATCTAGTCAACTGAAGTATAACCAATCCGTTGAGGCAAGTCTAAGAGTGATAATCGTCCAATTTTGTCTGCCAACTGGCAAAAGGGAGGAAAGGGGAAAAACAATGAAACATAGAAAACAAAAGAAGCAAATGTTGGCTTTGCACAGGAAACAATCTTATAACTTCCAGTAGCTTGGCATAGTTTTAAATAGCAATTAACAGTGCAGAAGTATTATATGATAATTTTATTCACTCAACGAGACACCTGCAATTTACTCATGCAGAAATATTGGTACAAGAATCACAACATAATTAAAATAAACCAAATGTCAGTCAGAATATGGGTGAAGTTGTGAAACCTAAGCAACTTGCCAGCGTCAAGAAAAATTCAAATGTTCATCAGGTGACAGGTATATATATAGGCCAATGTTGTCAAAATCGCAAGTCAGATTGTAAAACCGCATGTTCATACATGTTTTGGAGGGTTCCCCATGCTGAAACAGAGCCATGATCATAAATTGTTTTAATCGGAGTGAAATCACCAATCTTGCTTGTAAGATTGTAGGATCAACAACATTTTGCAAGCCAATTTTGGTTACTGCAGCTGGGTTTTGTGGGTTGAATTTCACAATCCAGTTCAAAAAAAAAAACAAAAAACACATTAATCTTATGATTCCCTTTATTTGTGCCCTACTCTCTTGGTCTCTCTCTCCCATTTGCAACCCAGGGCACACTTATATGTTTAAGTATAACTGTGCATGTTCAGTATGATTTTAAGATCTGCAATACAATTGTGTAATTTTAGCTCACTCACTGCCCACAAAATGCAGCTACAGGAAATATCAGCATGCTGTACTGCAAGAGTGCAGAGCAACACTGCAAAAAAAATATTAAACTAAGGGTTATGGTATTTAGATTACCTTGACAGGAAAAGTTCCAAGAGGAAGCTTAGTTGTCAAAAGCTCTCTGAGTCTTCTAATAGCCTTAACCTTATTAGCTAAGATGTCAAGCAGAGGCAGAAGCTCATCAGTTTTCAGAGGGAAGTCTGGTGTCAACCACAACACAGGTCTTAAACCCTTTTTATACTCGCTCTCATTTTTTGGCTCAGTGCTTGCTCCTTTCTTCTTCTTTTTTTTGATGGTTTTATCTTTTCCCTTCTTATTGTCTCCACTATCCTCCTTCAGAAGCTCGGATGCTGACTTCTGTTGATCAGCTGGTCTCTGATTGCTACTTTCTGAGCCAAACTTGGAATTTTTCTTCACAGTTTTGGAATCCTCAAGGTCATCACCACTACTCTTCACATTTTTCTTGTTCCAACCAAACCAGCTCTTCTTTTCTTTAACCACACCATTGGCTTCAGAATTTTCACAGGAAGCTGCAGAACCATTTTCTTGACCATCAAAAGCTCCATGTTCCTCGTCCTCATAAGTACCATCAGAGTTCCCCATATGAAGCGCAGAATCTAATTGCATTCTTTCCTCTGCAGTCAATACATCATCATACTCATCATTGTTTTCCCCATTTATCATGCTTTCTCCATCCTTCACAGCAAAAAGCTCTTCATCTGTCATAGCACCTGGAACCCGCCTTGACTTCACACTAACCATCACATGAAGCATGTCATAAACTTTTGCCTTCCAATTCCCAACCATCTCAGTCTTCTCCTGACGCCTCCAATTTAAATGGGGAACAAGCTCAGCCTGAGTTACATCAATACCTGGTCTATACATATTCGTCTGAGACATCAAGGAAACTTCATGAGCAACTTCAGCCTCTGTTGGTTGTGTACCAGCTCCTTCCAAAGCATTTGTGATTTCCTTCTCCTTATGAGAAAGAGCAATCAAGGAACCAGGTGGCAGGGTTAAATTACCCTCCTCTGCAACATAGCCCTCTCCAAGGAACAAAAATGTTTGGTCTGATCGTTGGATGCGTAAGCCATCAAAACCAGCAAGGGTCATATCAGCACGGAGATTAGACCCACGCTTCCAAATTCGATAAGTATCTGAAGGGGCTATTCGCCCAATAAAAGGAATGACAGAGCTCTCAAAATGGAAACTTATCTCCATATAAAAATCACGAATTCGAGATGCAGAAGCAACAATGCGGGGAAGTCTACGACACCATTTAGCCCAAGCCAGAGGCTGATAGTGTCGTGCAATGATCATGGCAATTGCTTCCTCTCTAGTGCACACAGCTTCTTGGAGGGCACTCCAACCATGCTCATTCTGTAGGCTCCAATCTGCACCAGCAGCCATCAAAATCTCAGCAGAGACCGGATCCCTGAGACGCACTGCAAGGTGAAGAGGGGTCTCCCTCCCAGGAACATCCCGGCGATCAATAACAGAAGAGACCTCATCAGCCTTAAGCTCAGCAGCAAGAGATTCTGCCTCCGTATTGACCTCGCCAGCCTTAGCAAGGCGAGGCAGGGCGGAAACAATGCGCCGCAGGGAAGCATGGTCACGCCTGGCAACTGCCATGTGAGCAGGACTGTGAGCATATTTACTTAAATCTTCCATCGACTTGTCTCCCACCTCTCTCTTATCCCTCCTCCCAGCCCCTAAGCTAGAATCATGAGTGATTCCATTGGCTTCCATGGTTGGTAAATCTTGAGCTACAACGCAGAAACAGAGTAAATTCCACTCATCATACCTTGACCGTGCTTTAGACACTTGAATCCACAAATCCCATGGTTCCAATGGCAATGGAAGACCACCAAAATGTGAAATCCGAATTTATCTGTTGCCCAATTTTCAGCTCTCCTCTTCCCTGCCACAATGAACGAACCTCCACTATTAAATTGCCAGAGACTACTTCACTGGCATTAATGATTTAATAACAAGAACGACAAAAGCAAGATTTCGGGAACTGTTTTCGCTCCAAATTCCGTGTTACAGCAAAGTCCAAGTGCGCAAGCCGATCCAATCAAATCTACAAACAAAGCAAATCTGAGCCTAAAGCAGCGAACAAAGATTTACGCAAGATTTAGAATTAAACCTACAGAGCGCTCGTTCATTTAATAAAACGTCTCGAATTGTTACCGCTTCGAGAGGAAACAGCTTGTAAAACAAAAATTGGAAGAAAGCAGAATAAATAAGGGAAGAGAGGAAAGACCTGGCGAATTGAGTAGCGATCGGAGTAGAAAGTGGTGGTTAGGGTTCTTCAAGTTGAAAGTCGCGAACTGAAATTGAAAATTGAGGAATAGGGAGAGAAAGAGAGAGAGAGGGGAGGATCCAACGGTGGAAAAAGAACGTGGAAGATTAGATCTAAGGGTGTGGGAGGGACCATTAATGCTGACAAATGACAACACGACTCAAAAGGGAAGAGGACGGAATCGGTCACGACTCGGTCCTCCACTCTGACTCGGAGGTCCCTCCCCAACCATCTGCGCTCTACTATTTCCTATTTTCTTAACACTTTTTTTTTTCTTTCTTTAACTCTACCTTTCTTCCGTTCATTATCATCTTAACTTTTAAATACCTTTTAATTATTATTACTGTATATTTTAATTCTCGTAATCATTTTTTCCCTTGAAATATTTTACGTTCATTTTTTAAAAGAAAAGAGTATGAATAAAATATTTTTATATTTTACTACTTTACTCTATTAATCATCATTATGTTTATATTATTAAATATCAATCATCATTATTAAATTATAGAATTTTAAAGTTTTTTTCTTTTAATGTCACCAGTTTTAATGAAGGTGAACACACGATTAAAAAAACTTAAAATCATATCATATTTAGTTATATAAATCGAAAACGTATAATTTTTTAAAAAATTATTTATCAATTTAAATTATGAAATAAAATATCAAATAATTTTTAATATTTTAAAATTTTGTACACTTATTTATGCATTAAATTTTTTTAATTTAATAATTAGATCATTGAAATTCAATAGTACCATGATTTATTGAGCAAAATAACTTTACCAAAAGTTACTCTTAAAATAATTTGATCTTATATATATATATATTAGAATACTAATTTTTATACAAGGGAAACCTTCCTTGGTAGTATATTTCACATTATACTTATCAAAAAAATACGAAGTGCAAATGATGAATGTCATATAAACTCTATGCATGGTCACATAATTTCACATTCACTACTCACATTTACATGATTTTACATTACATGAGTGACATCACCAATAGGCCATTCACTCAGACTTTCACACTGCTAAGATATACTTAGGTTTAGTCAGATAATCACTTACACTTTTGTCACATATCACATATCTCACAATTTTAAAGACTCACATTAACATCACATACTTTCCCAATTTTCCACATTGCACACATAATTCACTTATCTCGTTCAATTGATTCAATTAGCTTATTAATCAAGGTCATTTCATCAATTAATCAGTTTCACACCTTTCAATCATAGACATAGAAGAGCATTCGATGAGGGGTGTCCTACGTCTGATGCGATTGAGGCTAAAAGCCTTTAAAAGGATCATGCACTATGTGACTCTCCCAGTGCCCAACAAAATTTACATTGGGAACCCTGAAGCTTCCCCACCTGCCATGATCAAGCTCACACTCAACATCCACAACACCATGAGCATTATGTGGTTCTCACACCTAACATGCACCTCCCCATGCTCAACATGATCATCATAGGGGCTCTTCCATTGCTTCGCACCCCACGACCTCATGTGGAGCCCTACATGGTATTAGAACAATCCTTTCATGCTTAAATATGAATCACAATCACCTTAAGTCCCATAATTCACACAAACACATTATAAAAAAAGGGTGTCTATTATCTAGTTAATTCATTTTGTTATAAGGGTCTCCTAATCATAATTATTCCTCCAATTATTATTTAATTTCAAATTTTAGGATTTTTCAAAAAACTCACAAACATTCGTGAATTTTACATTCAAAGTCAAACTAGTGGATCAACAACACAATTGCAACATAAGAACATTTACCCCTCTTTCCTATCTTTTAATTATTGAATATTTAAAAATATTTTTAAAATTATTAAATATTATCTAAAATTATTTTTTTATAAAATTTAATCTTAATATTAAAAAAAATATATAGATAAAGAGATAGATAGATAGATATTTAAAATTAATTTTGCCAACAGTAAAAATCAAATTACTATTGAATATAAAATTTAAAAAACTTGAATTGCGTTATCCAAATAAATTTTTTTAAAATGATGAAAAATTAAATTAAAATAATTCAAATTTTCAAATTTTCAAATTCTTTAAATTTATATTAAACATATCATGACCATAAGTATATTTTGAGATAAAATAAAAGACTATTTTCATAATTTACTCTTTTTTAAAAAGTTGCAAAATCACCACTAAAATATATTAGTTTTTTTTAAAAAAATTATCTAATAATTTTTATATCGTACTAATAGTTCACATGACAAGTTACTTAAAATGCTATCGTGAATGTCGTTTGATCACATAACAATTCAAATTAACAATATCGACTTAAAAATATATGCATAATTTTTATGAAAGACTATGATTAGACAATTTTTTAATCTACTAAAATCAAAAATTGAAACGATCGAAATAGAAAAAACAATTAAAGACAAGCAGTATTTATTGAAAATTAAATTAAAAATAAATAAATAAAAACAAGAGCAGTAAACAAGGTTGGAAGTTTGTCGATTAATTATAATACTACTACTAGGCAACATCATTTACCCTAGTTACTGCCTTCACAAGATTACATCATGACTCATCAATTTTAATGTATGCGTACGTTGAATTACTTGTTTGCCAAAATTTCACTTGAGAGTTGAAAATGCATACCAATGCAATGATAGTATTTTGAAGAAATTTAATATTTTCAATATTGCAAAAATGCTTTTGATCATCCAAACGAAATTTATATATATTAACACAATTCTACAACTATGGACGGTTATATCATAATTATAATTGTATGTATATGTTGAAGCTAATGAAATGAATTAACGTGGTTTCAAATTATTGGATAATTAAATTTATATATATTTTATATAATTCATAATCTAATTCAATTATTTTAACGTTGATAAAATAAATTGATACTTTTTCTAATGACCGATTCGATGCTACTTTTCAATGATTAAATAAAAGACTAAATTTATAAATAAGTAAAATCTTTAAAAAAAATGACAATATTACTGATTATTAGTTGCTCAATGACAAAACTAAAGTTGTTTATTTCTACATTGTAGAGCCTCAAATGTCTGTTGAAATTGATAATACAAGACACATGAATTGACGTTATGATAGAGAGAATCTTGTGTTAATTATAAAACAAACATACAATAAATACATTAAAATAGAAGCAACTGTAAAAAAAAAAAAAGTCTTTTAATGCTAATAACTAAAATAAAAAATTGCTATCGCAAATATTTGATTATGATTTTTTTTTTATAAATTGATTATGATTATTAAGTTCTCAAGTTCCGAAGTAACTTACATTCCGTAATTATTTTTATTCGGGTCACGGTTTGAATTAATTGAATGTTGGAAATAACTAGTCAGCATTTCGTGTTTAGGAATCTTTTGAGTTCAGATAAAATTTTAAAATATGAATTAAAAATTAAAATGTAACTGCACTCGAGAATTTTGAGGTCATTTATTTTTCTTACATGCATCCAGCATGACTTCAACTATTTGTTTTCACTGCTTTGACAAAATACTTAGCAATCATAATGGCAATTTACTAAAGATTTGCTTTCATTCACAGGGGAGTAGGTTGGATGTGCAAGTGCTTATAAGCATAATATTAATTTGTGGTAAAGACATGTTGTATTCTTTTCTAATTCAGTATTACATCGTTTAATTTTTTTAATTATATATTTTGTTAGACTCTCATCATCACCTTAGTAGTTTAATAGTTAATCATATAACATATTAACATATAACATATAATAAATTTAATTAACTTATACATATTCATTATTTGTTCAACCAAACAACACATTTTTACAAGATATTTCACATCCAACATCTTTTAGCATGTGTCTTTTGAGGTTAAGGAACTCATGTATAAATTACTTTTGGCATGGTTAAACCCAGTCTAACCCCAATTTAAATAGATAATTTTTTTTCTTTACTTCTGACGTCACTCCATTAGCACTAACATCAACCAGCCTGAGAGCTTTTGCCTTGGTCATGCTAGGCTCCACACAATTTGGGACTTGACGCCACCAAGTCAGAGAAATTTCTCTCACCTCACACCCAACGTCATTAACTCATGCTCGACGTGACCAAGTTTAGGGTTTAAGATTTAGACAAAGTCAAAAAGTTTTTTCTCTCCTTACGCTTGATACCACTGATCTTACGCCTAACGTAAGTGAGACAAAAGACCCTTAATTTGAGTCACGCTCGATGTCATGATGACACACCTAACATGATGGTGAAATATGCACGTAGTAGATTCACAAATTCACTTAATTCACCTAAAACTAAAAAAAAAATCAACATACAATGCAAGATGTCATACATATACAACTTGAATCTAACCAATATATCTACATGCAGCCACAATCAATCAAAATCACCAAAATCCATCCGGACACGTTTCACAAGTAACAACTCTAATTTCATTCATCCAACATAAGTGAAATTAATCAACATGCAACTTCAACAATCAATCAAGATTTAGTTCTAACTTCCCCTACCTCAAAAGTCCAAGAGGGAGTGAGGAGATGAAGAAGACGAACTTTGAGTTATCATCAGAAAAGCTCGACTCTAATTCTCGTCTTCAACGACTTTGAATCGCCAACAAGCAATCTTAACTCTCAGGAGAAGGATACTACAATTACTCGGAGGTTAGTTAAAGAAGAGAGGTCTCATTGACTCCAAATTAATACTTATTTCTAACTTATCTATCTAATTAATGTTCTAAGAAATGAGCTTACGTAATTCAAATATATATAAAAAATATTATATACCTTCTATCTAAATTTATGTGAATTTCTTAAATTTTCACAGTTTCTCAACAATAAACATTAATACACTACCACAATACACAATTATTGATTAAAAAACAAAAAATGTACAATGATACATCTTTCATCCCAAATTATTTAAAAATGGATGAATGTTTTATGTTTCTATCACTGTCATGTAGAATTTGAGAGCAAATAATGTACTTAAAAAATAAGGTATAGGTTATAATTTTTTATTGAAAAAAATTAGAATTCTAATAAAATATTAAAATAAATATAATTATGTTAAAATTAATTATATTAAATTAAATCTATAATTATAATTTGAGTACTATTTTATGACTTTCAATTGAAGTACATAAATAATAATAATAATTTATCTATTACTTTAAAAGAGTTCAATTGTCAACTCTAACTTTTTGGTGT